TAGGCGAAAGTTTTTCCAACGCCCTTCGATTAAATGTGTTGTCACCCAATCCTGTAGCAGTACAAAGTTTCCAAGAAGGTACGGGCGACGACATGAAGATGGGATATTCTCCTCGAGTTGCTCGATGTAGCCACCAGCGCACACCCTCAGTCTGGGGCCCACGAAGAAAATATCGGTTCATCCATTCCAGGTACGGCCGGTCCACACCATCAACCCGCGCCTTGGTGAATGGGGTGAAGATGATGTCCTGGACCGTAGCGACGTTGCCGGAGCTGCTCGATGTTTGAGGTCTTGCAGATCAAGAGTACTGGTCTCCAGGTAGCTATCCATGGGTGATTCCATTCAAGAAGTTCCGCAGCTGTTTGGAGGCCACGTGAATTCCAAAGGCGTTCTCCACTCAGGCCGCGACTGGAGATGACTTCATATTTTGGTGTACATGAAGGTGAATGGCGGCAGCCGGCTCCTGCTTATAGAGGAAGATCTTGGGTATCTTCCGCCCTGGTACTCATATCCACTTCCTCTGTCTGGGCTGCGAAAACTTCGCTCATATGTGACTCGGCCGGAATGACTTTTTTTTGGCCCCCCCTGTATAAATAGATTCATTTACGAATCAGTTAGACATTCAGTTCCGTTTGGAACGGTCACATCCTACCTTGTGACTATCAGTGATGAGAGCGCTAACTGAAGCACTGACCATTTGTGCAGTGCTTATCTGGACGCTGAGATGCAGTTGCGAAAAAACCCCTGCACAATGTTTTTTGTTTCTTCTCCTGTCATCTTTTTCAGAGCGTCCTAGCAGTTTGAACGCCTGAGTTTGATGGACAGAAAGAATCCATCTGTCCTGCTTCTCTGCCATGCATGGCTATGGCAAGGCGGAATCAACGGATGAAATCTCTGCCTACTGCACTCCTTCCTGACCGCCTAGGCAGTTCGCTTGAGCTGCTCCGTTGCTCTGAATAGCTGCCTATTTCCGATGACTATTAATCTCATGGGAAGCGGAGATGGTGTAGTGGCAAGTGGCACGCGCGCTCACGGTGCGAATATCGCATTCCGGAACGGCTCCCGCCCAGCCAACATGGCCCTTGGCGCAGTTTGTCGACGGGGGGGCATTTTGCTTTCCATAGATGTGTCGACCCATCTAGGTAGCCGTTTCTCGAGTTGACACGTTTTAGGATGGTGGCTAGACGATCTTGCTCCAGCTTCACAAGAGTTCACAAGTTTTACCAGAGTGAGATTTGTAAACCGGAACTAGGGAAGCAATATACAAAATGCTCCCGTCAACAAATAGCGCCATGGCCCTCTACACCAGTAAATTGGTACCAGATTCGTCTGGGAGGATAAAACACTGACTTGTACATCGGCTGGCCACCGCAAGTCATTGTATAGGCCACATCGCATTCAATAAGCCACTACGATTCTGAATGGAAGTAGAATGCGTGCCGCATCCCAAACGGGTTGATCAACGGCTAAGGCCTCATCTTTCTATCTTTTTTTATACTCATGACAACGTTTTCTCCTACTTACTTTATGGGTGCAAACCAAGGCGTCCGGGTTGTGGCGTTGCCATGAGACTGGTGTATTTCATGAAGGATCGCGCGAAGAGCACATACAGTTGCTCTTCGCGCGAAGAGCTAGCCGGAGTGAGCCTGAATAATCACCCCGCTACGAGCGTGGTGAGCTACGCGTTTGTGTTGGCGTACCTACGCGCCACCTCAATTCGGATTCCCTAGCCTCCACCCGGTTTTTCTTGAATAGTAGAGGCTTCCTAGTCATTCGAAGAGCTGCGGTAGGGCACTGGCAAATTGGGCATTAGACTGTCCAGTGGCCCCGGCCAACCATGATCTCCACTCTAAAAAGCCAGACAGTATACGCCAGTCATTACAAACGGAAGGCGAATGTGTTCCAAATACTGAAAAGGACCTGAACATGTCAACTGCTCTATTTAGCCGTTTTTTCCGCAACAGTAGTCCTTCTCGTTTGTTTACTGCGCTCCTTACCCATACCTTTCCTGTCCTTCTAACGGACGACCCCCACTGAAAACGGTGGTGATCAACTCTCCTGTATAGCCTGGGCACTTTCATAGGGTTCCTGGGACTGCCACAGCTTCCTTTCACGGCGGTGAATTCAGTCCATACTGTTGCTCAATTCCTTCCTACAAGGGACCTCGCAAGCAAATCTCAACTACTTGCAATGCCTTAAACGGGAATGTACTTCATCCATCTTTTCCAACTATTCCATTACAAGTAAAAATTACGGGCGAAAATTCTGGACTGCAATATTAGTTCATTCACGTTATTTCTGATTTACCATTTTGCTACTCTGACTTATCAGTTTTGCTAATACTTTCTCGGAGTGTCATTAGGTACGATCATATGATGTTTCTTTCTTTATTCTGAACTCAAAAATGTAGAGTATGAAGTACTTAAAAGCTCACATTTCCGTCACTTTCCTCGTGTG